GTCAAGCTGTAGATGAAGGACTGCTGCCTTTGATAGAAGTATTTCTCAAATTAATGTTAGCAAGATTATGCCATTCAAAAATAATAAATAAACCATATTTAGACATAACTGTTTCTTTTAACTTGAATCAACCCTTATAAATTGTAATATTTAAGGAGTGCATTTTAACTTAAATTTTGGTCATTAACATGGGAACAAAAGCCCAAATTACATATGTGTGTTAGGTTTAATCAATCTTTGACTATTTATATTCATACTACATATAACTATGTAATGATTATCTCTTGTAAGATGTTTCAAGCTAAGTATGCAATTCAAGCACAGCAACCTAAAACATGCACGCGTATAGTGTTTTGTGTATCCATGAATTACCTTGGATATGTATCCATAAACTTTAGATAATAGGTATTCATGCTTGCCTGGCATAACACAACAAAAAACGCATAGGACTAACTTTCAAATAATATTACTTTAAATTAGCTTTGGGTATTTGTTAAATGTAAAAACAATTGGGACTATGTTGACTTGCAGGATCACCGTGAGTTTATGTAACTGAGAAACACACAAATAGTAGTGTTTATATGCATAGTTGAGAGCCTTTGATACAAGATAATTTATATGTTTTAAAATTAGTAGGCTGGAGGTATTAGAAGTATTTTAACAAACAGCTGAGGGGTAAAAGTTGATAACTGACTGTTGGTATATCTTTTAATGAACCAACCATTCTCCGAGAAATTCTTAAATGATGTGATATTTGTATCAATATCATCTATGAATAATTATGAGAAATAGTAGAAAACAGAGATCGAAGAAGATGATGGTGCTGGATTAGAATTTTTTAAGAATTTTTTTTGAAATAATTAGGTATTAAAATTTTTTTCCGCAAATAACCATGTTTCAGACAAAATTACGCAAATAACCATGTTTCAGAAAATCACACAAGGGAGGAGTCAACTCTGTTGGCGCATGCACTTAGCATTTTGCCCTAGGCGCCATCTCACTTGGCGTATGCTCTCTCATTTAGCCAAATGAGATGGCGCATGCACTTTAAAAGTGAATGGAGGCGCCATCTCACTTGACTCTTAGGGCAAAATGCATTTTTTATAAATAACCCGTCTGTTTCTCCGTCATTCTTCACACTTTCGCGCACTGTCCTCTTATTTTTTTCTCTGTTATTTGCGTCATGACATCGTCCATGATTTTTACCAGAGATGGTTACATTATTTTCTCGGCCACAAAACCTCCGATGAAAATGAAATTCTGGCACATTCACTCCATGGAGTGTCTGAAGAGGGAGTTCATGTGATGACTAGAGAGACATCGAGGATGGGGAACAAATTAGAAGGATCCAGCGAAGAAGAACAACCACCTCACTTGCGACAGGAAGACCTAATTTTTGGTTTGAGGAAGTCAAAACAGACAGCGACGTAATGTTGGTGATGCATGGGTCAGATGAAATTGTTTTAACGGTTATAATTTCGTAGACGGTTTATCGTGTTTTATTTGTTGTTCGCGCAAGGTTTATTGTAACAAATGTTGTTAATGAAAAATCCTAATGTTTACAACTTAAAAAAGTAAATATGTTTTGTAATATAATTTTAATGTGGTTGAGCCAGTAGCCCGAGTCGAACAATTTTTGCGATTGTGTCCGACCTGACGACATAAACCACACTTTCTTTCCAGCTTGTCAAGGGAGTCTATTTCAGTTGTGATGCGCTTACTTTCGGGACGACCTTTTTTATTCCTTTGCATTTGGTCATTGTGTCATACTATTTCACCGTCGTATGCAGGCCAATAATCAGGTTTTGCTACCAAAGAGAAGTTGTTGTTGTATACGTTGAGCAAGGTTTCAGATTTATAAATGGGAGACAGAAGTTGTAATACGTCTTGATGAGTATAGGCACACACAACAATGACATGAGAGCAAGGCATACGAAAGGATTGAAACTTGCCACAATCGCACCAACGAGAAGGTAGTATAGCCCTATCGACGGTAAGACGGTTAACGGGTCGGTTCAACAACCCAATTCTCTGTGTGAAGAATTGTTGGTCAGGGATATGGTTGAAGATGGTGGTGCGAGAGGTCAGGGTATACTACTTACTGAGCTAAAAAATCATTATGCGACTCTGGAATTGAACAAAAATTCCTCCGAGCTAGCTAAGGTAATAAAAGCTAAAAATTATATAATGATACTATTTGGAACCTTTTTATTTCCCAAAAGTACGGGAAATAATGTAAATTTTATGTATTTAAATTTACTTAGAGACTTCGAAAAAACTAGAAAGTATAGTTGGGGTTCTGCTGTTTTAGCCCATCTATACAGTTTCTTGTGTAAAAATACAATCAAGGAAAAATGTACATCTTATGGCTGCACTTTTTTACTTCAAGCCTGGGGTTGATGGAGAATGGAGTCCCTAAACCCCGTCAACAACAACACATTCGTTTTCCCATACGTAACAAAGTAAGTCATTAAATTATATTATTTATTATTATTCATCTCTTCACCAAATATATGATAAAAATAAAATATTTTTCAATTCCTTTAGGTACTGCGTGAGGGGTATGGATTACGGCAAGAATCCAAGATTCAATATCGCTCTATACCATAATTTATTGGATCACCTTGGCCCGGATGATGTACGTCATAACTTTCAACTTTTCTACTTTTAAATTATTTATTTATTACGTTTTCATTAAGCTGGTTTAATTTTATCCGCAGTTTGTCTGGAGACCATATTTGGGTTTGGACCATGAACCAAACTCCGAGGATGCAACAATTTGGAGCGCAAAGACTGCAATCATACGGTTCAATATTGTGGAAATGCACCACAGTGACCGTGTCAATATGCAGTTTGGAATGCATCAAGAGATACCCTGCGATCCAACTTGTTTGTTCCCGTGGCATCTCAAAAGGGTCGACGTCCAATGGGATCTTACCAATTGAAAAGATTTTTCTCCAGAATGGTGTAAGATGTGGCAGAGGCGTCACCGACATGTCTTGCAATTCCTAGTTTTCCTTAACCATGGTAATATGCGACACACAGATCCGTATTTAGCTTGGTACAGATCGGTTAGTACCCCAGAAATGCACGTGTCTCATCCAAGGTATTTGGTTGACCCACGAACACAATGGGCACAACCCTTATTTCCCCAACAACAAACCCAACACACATCAACCTCCCACCAACCTCTCCGACGAAACAGAACCACAAACATCCAACCACAATCACCACCACAATACGATTACACCCACATGCCCCACAACCAATCACAATCACCACCTCAGTACCAATACCCCCATATGCCTCACACCCAACCACAATTTCAATCATAATACCAATACACCCGTATACCCCACACACAATTCTAGTCTTCTACGTATCTCAATATGGACCCCTCAACATCTAACCTTATCCTTGATCTGGGATTGTCCGAAGATTATGAATCAACCGATCCAACTTACCATCAACCACCACATCACCAAAGCACCCAACGTTCCCAATACCAAACACCCCAAGATCCATTTCCTTTCTACCCCCGTACTCAGACGACCAGACAGACCAACCATGAAACCTCATCCACCACCAACACGACCAAACTTTGAGGGTATGGGTAACCGATTATACCAAAGCGGATCTTCTAGATATGGAGATCTGACCAATTTCATGGATCTGGAACGCATTAACTTCGCTGGGCCATCGACCCTGCCACAACAGGAAACACGACGAAACCTAGCACGAGAAAGGCGAGGACGGGGATGCGGAACCGGGGGTCATTACCGGGTTCCGGGAAACCACTGATTAATCTGTATTTTTTTATGTAATTGTTATGTGTGTAATCATATTGTGTACATAAAATGTCAATTTTCTAGATCTTATATCGTTTACGTAACATACCGCATTTAAAATAAAAAACGCGAAAAATTGTCTGTCATTTGCACTAAGGCGCCATCTCACTTGGCTTAGGGCAAGCCTTTTACACATAGGCGCCAACTGAGATGGTGTCTCCCCTTTAAAATAAGGTGCATGCGCCAACTGAGTTGGCTCCTCCCTTATGGGGTTTTCTGAAACATGGTTATTTGCGTAATTTTCTCAAAAACATGGTTATTTGCGGGTTTTTTTAATACCTAGTTATTCTAAAAAAAATTCATTTTTTAAAGTTAATTTTAATTTAAAGAAGTTTAAAATCCCTGCAATCTAACATATTTTTTTCAACTTTAAATGACGTGATGTGCAATGTAACATATCACGTAAATTTCCGTTAAATTAAATAGACGAAAGAGATTAAAATTATAGATAAAAATACTTTATGTGAATATTTTTTAAGAAAAAATTTTTAAAAACTAAAATTGAATATTTAGATGTTTATAAAAATCCAACCATATTTAACCCTAAATAAATTTTAAAATAGTGTTTAACAAAAAAAATTTGTAGCAGGTCATAACATGTTATTACATGTAAAAATATTATCTTATCTATGACAGTCAAAAACTACGTCACCGATTTAAAATCATATCTTTTACTCCTCATTTTGTATCTACTTTTCTTCATTAATTACATGGACTTTTGTCCCCTTTTGTATCTAATTTTTGCTGCTTAGAAGATGACGCCACCACGCCTTAGTACATTAAGTTTATTTATAATCATTTTTGGAGAATTCTATATAGTTTGAATGAAATAACAAGGGTGACATAATGAGGTAGGTGAGACTAACAACGCAAAAAGTAGAAACCAAACCACAAACTTTTTCATACTAAAAAATAGTACTATTCCTATAGTACAGATTCACCTAGACACTTCCTAGTGATTTATGTCATGTGAACAGTCCATTTTAGCAATAAGCCTCAAGACTAAACTTGTCTCGTAATTAACGGAAAAAGAATAAATACAACTTTACTTTCCTCCTCTTGATTTCTTCATCCTACTACATTATATATACTTGACAATAAAAATTTCTCAGCATCACCATTTAACAAACACAATTAATAGTAGAGAAGAATATGACCACCGGAGCATCTCACATGATGCTTAGGTGTGTCTTTGAAGGAAGCATATCATCACATGATAAGGAAGTTGAGAGAAGGCCATACCATAAAAAATGTGGTTGTGCATTGCATAACTTGGATGATATTTGCAAAAAAGCATGTCCTCAACAAAGATATGTTTGGTATAAGAAGAGAATATCATGGACTGCTTGTTCTGTTAATGCTATACCTTCCAAGTTCTCTTCCCCTCTTTCTAATTCCAAAACTAGATACCAATAAAAGATAGGTTGCATGTGTGGATCCGTGGGTAAACCGTGATATTACAATGCTTTTTTAATTATTTACTTATGTACTACTTGGTAGGAAATAGTTAGGAATTTACTAAGGAACTATTTTGTCTTTAACAAATTTATGTTTTACACTTTCAATTGAATGAAGAGTTATATTAAGTTATTCTATTTTAGTTATTGTCAATTTCGATTGGATAATGCTAGTCTCATATTTGATTTATGTATTATCATTGATATAATTTATCACTGTCAGTGTTTCATTGTTTTCAAGTCACCAATACTTTTAGATGTTTTTCAAATTTATGAAATTGTCCTTTGAATTTTAGAATTCGGAGTATATATTTAAAATGTCTAAGATCATAGCATTCGAACACTATATAATCCATAATTTTTTCCATTTCCTTTGCCTTCTACAATATTGGTTTATTTTGGCTTCTAAAATCAAAGAGTCTCAAAATTTCGAAGTTTTTACACTACTAGAAAATCAAGGAGTAGTAATTATTTTTTACATTAATTAACTCGTGATTTTTCATAGATAAATATAATTTATCCACGATTTTATTATGGATATTGTAATTTAATCTGAGGTGATTTGCACATTTGAAGTAATTGTAATTAATTGTAATTGTAATTGCCATATGTGCAACTTCCACCACCTAGTGCTCTATAAGATCAAGTTGCACATATGATTATATACGGGTTTTTTTTTATTCAGATACATAACCAGTTATAGAGAACTTAGAGATACAGACAAAGGAAACTATGGTCTTATCTTCTACGCATTTTACTTTGTCTAGTATCAGTCTCTCTTGTCGGATGTTTATTTATATTTCATTCTAGACAACTTATAGGTGCTGAATGCATTTTGTAAGAATAAGATTTGATTCCGCATCTATTTTTAAGTTTTGATGATAACATTACATGGTATTTTAGAGAACAATTCACTATTATAACTGTTTATATATACTGTATAGCTTTTACTAAACATGTTATGACTCTGAAGTTAAGACATATGACGTCATCAAGTTCTGAACTCAATACACTCTAACTCTGAAAGAAATCAAGTTGTATTTACAAGAACTCGTCAAGTTCTAGAATTCTTCTATAATACTGGTTCTGATGAACGTTAGCGATAGAGCTTCTGATCGTGACTCATTTAGAAGAGCTTCTGAAGACTTCTCAAACTTTGATTTTGTTTGTCCTAGTTCTGAAGATTCTGAAAACAAGGTTGTGGAAGAACAAGTATAAAATATTCTGAAGATAAAGACTCTGAAGAACAAGTGTTGAAGACTCTGAAGACAAGGTTCTAGATGAACGAGTTCTGAAAACTCTGAAGACTTAGGCTCTGAAGATTCTAGTTTTGGTCCTTCTAAGTATGTTTCATCATCAACCATCAGAATCATCTAAAGATTAAAAGATAAGATCACAATTCCTTTAGGTGAGAGAATAATATAAGGTACAAATGTTTCCACTACCTTGATAAGGTGGTGCAAAGAATGTACATGAGTACTATATTGTCTACCACTCTCTCACTAATCGTTATGGACAAAACAACTGGAATTAAGGTGTTATACCCCAATTTTTGCCCCTAAGATCCCTCATCATCTCATATTATCAATACATGAAGATCACACGTTAGGGTTGGTTCTCCCTTTGTATTTCATCCTATCTTTAAGTTTGCTTTTGATGGATCACCAAACACATTAAATTGTGTATCTTGTACATGTTTTCTTTTAACTAACATCAAGATATGTATATATGTCTCTTTGAATGTTCATATTATAGGTGATGACACAATTTCATTCATCTCACCATCTAACCTAGGATTTGAGTGGTGGTCCTCAGTCAAATGTTTCTTCAATAGATTGCAAGAGCTCAAGCTTCAAGACTATGTCTATGATATCAAAGATTTGTGGTTCAAGGAGTTCTCTCACTTTATTTAGGTCAAGTTCTCATCAAAGTAAACGATGACATTCATCAAGAAAATTCATAGGTTCATGTGTTTATTTCTATGCCTTCTTCAACAAGTTTCTTTGAGACTTAACCTCCATCTTTGAGTGTGCTTCAAGATAACACCATTTCAATACCTATGATGATTCATCATGCTTTATTTTATCAAGAAAGTTCAAAAGATTCAAGGTTGATACAACAAGTTTGACTTAATTGAGCAAATGCTTGATTCAGTGATCACATGTGCATAACTCTCTAAATTTTTAACATTTTGAGTTGTTTATTTTTTCTATGGATTCTTATCATCATCTACAACAACATATCTCCACATGACAAGATCCAATTGTGCACGAAAAATCATCAAAAGTTGAAAGGGGTTTCAAGTCATTTTGACACTCTCTGAGCTAGAGTTTTTGACTTCTAAGGACCATATCTTATTAAATTTTTTGAGATTTTTGATTAACTCCAAATCCATGAGTCTCTTTCAAGGGTCCTTGACAAGCTCTCTTCAGGAATCTAAGGCTAATTTTGAATGGAAGATCACTAATGGTTGAGAAAGATTACAAGTCTACTTGAAAATCCTTTGAATTTTAGGGTTTGACTTTAAATGATCATAACTCGGTCAATATTTATCTTCTTGAGCCCATTCTTTTTTCACAATAATCTTTGGGATGTCTACTACAACTTTGCTTCAATGTGCAAGAGTTGAAGATACTTGGAAATTGGTTGAAGAATTGAAAAGGTTATAGGTCTTTTGTGAATTTCCCCAAATTTATTCATCATCTTCCAAAGACCATAACTCTTTCAAATTTTATAATTTTTGAGTGATCTCAAATCCATAATTCAATTTAAGAGGTCTACTTCATCTCATCTTCAGATATCAAGATCAAATTTTGAGGGAAAAGTCATGTAATTTTGAAGAACGTTATAGGTCATTTTGAGGTCCCATACTTAAAAATATTTCTAAGTACAAAAATCAATATGTTTCTCACGATTTCAAGAGGACATAACTTCCATCTCAATTATCCAAATGAAGTCTTTCTTGGCACATTGTAAATATTTTGACCTTGTCCTTCAAGTGCTTCAAGAATCATGTGATAAAGCCTCTTGAGTTGTGTGCACCATAGATTCAAAGTTGGTATCATGAAACTGATTTTTTTCAAAACAGTCAGATTGAAAATTGATTAGTGTGGACTCTAAACACAAATTTGTCGCGTGTTTGATGTTTAAACATGATTAACTAAGTTTCCTGAAGGGTTTAGCACATAAAAACGCAAGGAATGGTTGAGTTTTGACAACTTGCAAGTCACACTCTGCTCATGGTGCAGGTGCACATGAATTCTCCTCATACTTGATCATTTCTCTCACTTTGTTTCCATCATGCTCAGCTATAAATAAGGATCATCCCTCACTCATTTTGCAAGCTTTAGAGATCCAAAAAAGCTCTGTTAAACTTCTTCCACACCTCTCAATTTTGCAACTTCGAATTTGGTTTTAGAGCTCTTTTTAATCCAATTTCTTTGCTGATTCTTCATCCTTGAACTTCACTGAAGCTAACAGAAGAAGAGCCAAGTCTTGTAGTTCTCTAAATCGTGCTAGCCAAGTCAAGTTTCAGAGAAATTTCTTCATACTTCGGTCAGGTAGTTTGATAACCCGGAAACGTATCAAATATTTAGGTTAATTTATACGAATTTTATCCGCATTTTAATTACCTTTATTATTCTTTATTCGTATTATGTTGGTATTTTCTATGTTTTCAGGAATTTGATGTTACAAGACACATGCGAAGAAAATCGGGAAAAGTCGTGCCAATCATGCTTAAATCCACATAAAGAGTGAACAATTATGAAGTTATGGGGTGTATGACTAAACAAAGCGTATCACAAGCAAAAAGCAAAAAGGCCCTGAAGAACAAATGAAGGAAGGCCCAAATTTCCCCAAGCCCAAGGTGTAAGGCCGTTACACTCCCCTTTCCTAGATGTAACGACCATTACACCCTTTCCAGCTAAGACCTTCCTACAAAATTGGGCTACAACGACCGTTGTAGCCTTCCCTTGTTAATAGGTCATGACGACCGTTCAATCCTCCTTGAAGAGAGGAGCGTAACGACCGTTACTCTAGGAAAGTGGGAGGAGAAAATATCTCAACTCCCACGCGCCTCCAAGCCTATAAATAGGACTTCAAATTCCCATTTCGAATACGTTTTTCTTCTCTTTAATTTTAGTGTTACTCTTCCAAAAATATTCTCTGTATTATTTATTTCCGCTTGTTATTTTTCATCAATCTCTGCGAGATACCTGAAGTGACCCAAATATTCCGCCATATTATTTTCAGGTTTAATTTAAGTATTTTATTTATATATGTCAAGATTTTTCTAAATGTTATGTTTATTTAAATTGTTTGATGATAATTATTTCTGTTGCGTTGTTATTAAATTGTTTAACATGCTAGGCTAAATTTATTTATCGGTATGTAAGGTCACATAGCTAACGGTATTTTGGTAACGCCGATTGATCAGTTCCTTTTTAAAAGAATAACTTTTCTGGTTTCAATTATCAATTCTAAAAACCAACTGTTTTATTACGAGAGTAAAACAGATAGAAGTTAGGATCAATAAAACGAGAGTTTGAGATAATAACTGGACAGTGATAATTGCGCATTAACTTAAAATACAGCGGGAGCGCTTTTAAGTTGATTAGGTTTTATTTGTTTTCAAAAACTATTTTTAAACTCTATTTGAAACAGCGAGAGCACTCACTTAGGTTTGATAGTAGGATCTGAATCAATAAACACGTGAGTGTGAGAAGAGGGTTTTCAAACAAATACCTTCTACTGAGAACTATTTTATTAATCCGAATTAGGTCGTCGAGTTGCTAAATCCTCGAAGCCCGACCATTACATAACGATATTCCCCCTTGAATCTAAACTATATATTAATCAGTTAGGTTCCCAAACCCCAATTAATTATATTATTAGCCTTATATTTATGTAGTAACCTAAGATAACGGTAGCTCGACATTTAGTCCCTTGGGATTCTAT